GTCTTGCTTGAGATGCAAACCAGAGTGTTATTTGCTTTGCTGGCTGCAGCATTGCATTGGTGGCTCATGTTCATCTTGTGGTCAGTTATGACCCCCAAGTCTCTTTCAGCCGTGGTGCTAGCGAGTGTAGCACTGCCAAGCCCATAAGTATGACGTGGGTTTTCTCTCCCGAGGTGGAGCACCTTGCATTTCTCTGTGTTGAATGCCATCAGGTTTTGATCTGCCCACCTTGCGAGCCTGTCCAGGTCAGCCTGAATTGCCAGCCTATCCTCTACAGTGATCGCCCTTCCCCATAATTTGGTGTCACCTGTGAACTTAGCCAGTCTGCTTCTGACACCCAAATCTGGATCATTTATGAATATTAAAGAGTACTGGTCTGAGTACTGAGTTCTGGGGGAATGCCACTGGTCACCATCCACCATGTTGACTCCGTTCCATCAACTATCACTATCTGGGTCTGACCACGGAGCCAGTTCCCCAGCCATTGGACTGTAAGGTTGTCAAGGCCACAGTTCCCCAATTTTACCATGAGGACATCATGGGAGACCAAGTCAAAGGCTATTTTGAAATCTAAATATATGGTATATATTTAGATACCGCACCTCAAAATTTCTAGTTCCAATCCCAGCCCTGCAGGGAACCAAACTGTAAAAGGACTCAAAGAAAAGGTTGATCCTTTCTTGGCTTGGGCCTGAACTACAACCACACTGCTTAGTTGGGACATAAACTACAAAAAGTGACAAAAGGAGGCCTAGGCCTATCTCACTGGGCCTGAACTGGGCAGCAGAAAGCCAGCCATGCCTATACTGCACTGAGGCCTGGATAGACAACAAGTAGTGCCAGGTCTCATCCTGGTTCAAACTGTGCCAGGGTTTACCCTGGCCCAAATGTGCCAGCCAAACTTACGGCTGGTGTTCAGCCATACAGCTAGACTGAAATTTAACAGCTGTGAAACATCAAAAAGGACCCAGGCCTATGGCTGCAGCTGGACATCTGTTCTCAGCTACACCACAATGCTGATCTCTAAATACAGGGGCCCAGTAACAGTCAGGACCCCATTCCTGGTCAGTCTGCTCCAGGGATTAATACACCCATGGTATTACCCCACTCAAGAAAAAGAAATGGGAAAGAGGGAGGGAAATCAGAATCTCAAACTCTAAGACAGACTTTCTCTCCCTGTACTTGAGGCTTTCCCATGACATAGCTTTGCTTGCCTCTCTAGTGAGGTGGGGGGGAACCCCACATGGGGAGCAGGTTTCCTGGCTCCCAGTTTAGCTATGTAGCTCTCAGAAGCCCCAGAAGAAAGAGAGATCAGTCTGGGTGGGCAGAACCTTAACTTTTCTGACATCACCACAGGGTCCCAATCAAGAAACAGCATCATTTGAACTCTGTCAAATGTGGTCAGTGCTCCTGGTTCTGGCCGGATTCACTAAACTGGTTTTATGGGTTCTTTTAAGGAATCTTAATATAATAGTCTGGACACAATGAGGGAGAGGGGAGGTGGTCGTCTTCCAGTCCCCTCCCCAACCCCCCCCGGAAACCCTCCCCACAATATACAACAATCAAAAGCACACACTTTATCCCACACAACCCCAAGCGTGTGTAGGTGTTATGTAAGTTACACTGTTTTCTGTAAGAGGCATTTAGATCGGTAGTGAACAGAACATACATTCACCTTTTGTTTGCAGGGAGGAGAGTAAATCTTAGACCAGGTTCCACCATTTTTAAGCCAGTCTGTGTGTGCCAAACTTTTATTCTGTTATGACTGTAGACTGGTTTCTGATCACTTGTACCAGTAAAAGTGTAATGTGTGTACCTAGCCTTAGGGTAGATTAGTATTTGCTCAGTATTAACTTCCTTGAGACTCAGTGTTTGTGGGAATGTTACCATTACAGTGTGTGTTCATAGCTTTGTCCCTATGAGATGTGATGAGCAAGAGATCACAGTGTCCACTAACATAGCATGCATAAGGTGATAACAGGGCAGTGAGAATTGCTGCTATACATTTACTAGCAGCCACTGTTTCAACAAGAGGATAAATGTATTTTGATGATATCTTTTGAGGTACACAATACAGGGTTTTCTTTGGTGGATGCCTAGCATAAGCCCAGTGCTTTTAACACCCAACTTGTCAGAGACTGATATGAATCAGGATACAGTACAATCAGAATCACCCAGCAAGTGAGCTACTGCTACATCATTCTTCAGATCTCAACAACATTTATGGAGCTGAAATTCAGTGTTTGTGAATCTGCCCAGAGTTTCATTTCATCACTGTCAGGTAACAGGTCAAGTCCTTGGGAAGAGGCCATAAGAAGGCTCAGCTCCATACCTGATTGCATAGAGAAAGATTGGTGTTTAGACTGGAAAGCCAGCTGAAGAAGCAACATTACAGCAAAAACCAGAAGCTATTTTTTTCCTCTGTCAACATCCAAGTTCCAATCTGAGAGGAATAAACTTGAAAATATGTTTTACCAGTAATCCAAGCCCCTGTCTGAATGCTGAATTTGTGAAATCATACTACAGACTTCAAAGAATTACAGCTCCATCTGTATCAGGGACATAAGTGGTCTGCTGATGCTATGGCTAACACCACATGAAACACTGTATATAAAGGAGGAGATATGAGACATTGGGGGGGGGGGGGCACATTCTGTTTGTTTCTCCCTTAGATTTCTAACAGTGATCCTCTAGCAGAAATCAGTTTAGGGCAGGGTATCTTAATGGAGATCCTCCTACATATGGCCATGAATGCGCTGTGTGTTGTTACAATTCATAGGATACACGGAACACAATTTCTTTGGGCCTCATCTTAAGAGGTGCAAAGTAAAGCTTTTCCTACTAGAAGGAAAGAGAGCAGGTCCTTATCAATGGCATCTCTCCCTCAAAGAAAACGAAAGACGTTGCAGCATGCAACAACTAAAGTAGTTGGTGCCTTTTTTGTAACTTGAAGGGGTAGAGACATGGAAATTGCCACGGCCTAATCAATTTGGAATTGGAATTGCATCAGCAGCAATTTTTAGTGGCTGGATGTGCCAGGTAATACAATACTTCCAGGAAAAAGAGAAAAAAATCTAGACAGAGCAGAACAAGCCAAAAGCATCTCATCTTTCTTTCCAGTATATCTAGTTTGGCTTGTCACTTTTACTATTTTTAGATTGGGTCCTCCTCTCTTGTCTCCTTTTCAACCTTACTTTGCTTCTAACCACATAACCTATTACAGTATCCTGACAAAGCAGTCTAAGGGATACAAGACAAAGTAGTAAAGACAAAAATAACATGTAGGGCCAAGTCCACCTACACATGCATCAGTATAATCTGTTTAGCTTCAACAAAGAGGAGGCCAAGTTGGAGTGAACATGATCTCTATGCTAAGGGCTGCCTTTTGTTGCCTTCAGTTTTGGCATCTGAATGTCTGGACATATCCTCACTCTGTCTGATCTTATTTATTTATTTAAAAAACAACCCTAATTTCTTCAAAGAGCCTTTTTCATTGTCTACTTCCAAGTCAAAATGATTTAAATACATTAAGAATTCTCTGTAGACAAATAAAATAGATCTATTAAAATATAAAAATCACATAAAATAGTATGAAACTGATTGTGAAAGCAAAACCTGTAAAATAGAATTATTTGGACAGAAAAAGAGAGCCAGGTTTTGATTTTGGCTATTAGGGTATATATCCAATAAAAAATTCCTAACAATGACTGAAATTGCTCTGGGTCTACACCATTACAACAGTTCAAAAACCTACCCAAAAGAACACCAGGTACACTAAGACTTCTTAATTTAAATAATCCGACAATAAATTTACTTGCTGTAAAAAACATATGAAAAAATAGAGATAAAGCCAAAAGAAAAAAAAAAGGACAAAGCAAAATAGTTAAATAATGAAGGTAATTTGTAATAAGTAGGTAGAAGGCTACAGTAAATAATTAAATAAATAAATAAATAATGATCTGGCAGTAGAAAGGAATGCTTTACTACAGAAGCCTATCTAGAGAAAAAGGAAAAGACATTATTTGGTTCCTGTCTAAAAAACGAACAAGTTTCCTAAAATATTTTTGTACAATAACCTGGTAGAAAATTTGGCAAAACTAATGGGAACATTTACAATCCCCCATCTCCCTATAGGCAGGGTTTGCTTCTAATCTGCTTCAAACACAGTCCACACACTACATGTTGTCAAAACTCACCCCTTTTCTGGGGTCTGGCTTATTACACAGAGATTAACAAGTGCAACTAAGTCCGACAGCCCACTCTTCCGGCTGTTCCTAATATTTCCACTGCAGGACTCCTCCCTCCCACATTCTAGCTCTTTGCCACTACAGCCACTCATACTTTCCCTATATCTAGACAGGAATAGGAGCCACCTGCGTTGGTCATTCAGCAGTAACCTCAAAACCTTTTCCCAGGAGGATCAACACCTCCCAGCAAGGTGAGGGCTTTCAGACAAATATTCCCACCTCCATTAAATTCCTATGAAGACTTACTATAACTTCAAAACACCACTGGGGAAGCCTCTTTAGGAGGGAAAGGAAATCTTTCAGTAGATAAAACCTGACACCCAAAAACAACTAAAATGAATGTAAACAGTTTCAATCATATTTAATGAGGAGTCAGAAAAATAAATCAATAAATACTGACAGACATTTGAAGGAAATAAAGTAGGGTACAACTTTAAGGCAACTGAACCAAACTGCCAAGTATAAGAAGTTAAGAGGACAGTTGGGGGATGGGGAGGGGGGAAACCCAGGCGATATAAAATATTAGAGTTCTACTTCTGCAAACAAGTTTTTTAACCTGGCTGCCTGGACAATTTTGATAACACCCTACAACTAGGGTGGCCATCAAGGTTCATCAATAATACAGGCATGGGTGTCTGGTGCCTCCCCTGGCACATACCCTCCTGACACCAGTCAGTGACCACAGGGGAGCAAGAGAGGTCCCCTGGCAGCTGATCCCGCTGACCCGGTGGGGGGGTGGGAAATCTCACTCACCGTAAAACTCACAGAATTCTTGCGGTCACTTCCGGTTTTGCTGGTGGTCCCACTCCCTGGCCGGCACTCACAGGGAGGGCACTGGTGCTCCTGCCTGCCTGCTGGCTAAACAGGGAGTGTGGCCTGACAGGGGGTGCACCAGCACTCTCAGGGGTTGCACGTGTACTCTCTACACATTGCCCCTGAATATAGGACAGTGCCCCCTCTAGCCACCTGAGGCGGGGGGGCGCATGGCAAGCTCCCGCAGGTGTCAGCAGCAGGGGCCTGGCGGCGGTGAGCAGGGAGCTCCTGTAGGCAGCCACAGCGTTGTCTGTGGCAGGTGGAGAGAAGTGCTGCTGAGTGCTGAAAAACAGAGGACATAAAGGCAGCCAGTAGAGAACAAAGGACAGAGGATGAGAAAAGTGGACTGTACTCTATAAAACCAAACAAATGGCCACCCTACCTACAACAGATACCATTAGCAAGCCAGTGAACAAATCAACACTTCTCAAAAGTAACATGAATGCACATAATTTTCAAAAAGTTTGGCTTATTGCTAGCAATACTACAAATCAGCTTTTGACCAGGGGAACTGTGCACTCTTGGATACTAGTTCAGGGAGCTTTTTCTTTCTCATTCCAAAGTATTCACTTCTGGGTGTCAGGCATCAATTCAAAGTTAGAGCACAAGGTTTTTTGGAACAGTTCACAGTGCCATGACCCCACATATGCAATACAGCACGACCGATCTGCAGGGGAACTCTGAAATGAATCACAAGCTGGCAAAGCGGATCTACTCCCTCACGCAGCATTCAACGGAGCACTGCCTTGGAGATCAATCCACTGGGCCCAGACACTTAAGCTTTCCTTGGCCTGAGCAAGCCACAGCTACAAGCTATCAGAGGGGCAAAGAGGCTCTCCTCCCTCATGCACCATTCAACAGAGCGCAGCTTAGATCCCAATCCAGAGTCCAGATGCTCTTAAACTTCCTTAGGCCTGAGCGAGCTGCAGCTCTGTTTCTTTCTGTGGTTTTTCTAAACCAGCGGTTTTCAACCTGTGGTCTGTGGACCCCTGTGGGTCCATTACCCCTGTGGGTCCGTAGACCATGTCTAAAGGGCCTGCAAAAGATGACTATGATCAATCAAAAGTATGTGAACACCCATGCTTACAATTCAAAGCGGTCTGTACCTCCATTCAAATTTTGTAGAGGTCCGCAAAGAAAAAAAAAGGTTGAAAAATCACTGGTCTAAGTATAAAGGGTGCCTGTACACGAGTGCAGAGGCTGCTCCCATGTGCTGTAATTACAGCACATGGGAGCAGACTTGATTAATCAAGTCTACTGGAGGGTGGTAAATACTGCGTTCCAGCAGCCTCCCACGTGTCACGTATCACTATCCCCACGCTTCAAAATGGCAGCTGGGGGGCTTGAACTAAAACTCATCAAACGAGTTTTAGTTCAAGCGCCCTTGCTGCCATTTTGAAGCATGGGGGGACACACACACATGATGCTTCCGGCACTTTAATTAGAGTGGCTCTTCAAGTCGCTCTAATTAAAGCGCTGCCCTCATCCCTGAGCATGTCTATACAGCACCGTTGGAGCTGCTCTAATTAAAGCGCTTCCCCCCCCCTCAGAGTACATGTATTAGTGCCCCAAAAGTTAAAAGGGCGGTAAAGGAAGGGGAACTCGGGAGATGGGTGCTCCGGTTCCGCAGGCAGACCCTCTGCCCACTGCTGCTGCGTGCAAACAGGTCCCCACCCCCAGACGCTCAGTAGCTGGAGCACAGCGAGTGGGGACCACGAGTGAGGCAGGACACTGCGTGGGATGCTCCAGCCCTGCTTCTCTCTGAGTCTAGGGGCAGGCGCTCAATGAGGCAGGTCCCCCTTACCGTCTGCCCCAGAGTCAAACAGGCCGCACACAGCCTGCCCCTGAATTGTACGTGCATCGGCCGCGCGAGCACCAAGGCCGCCCCGCCCCGCGCGCCGGGGGGAGGCGGGGCCAATCTTGCGCCCCGCCCCCGGGCGCTGGAACCGCCCGGAACCATTCTCCTAGGCCCGCCGTTTCCGGGGGAAGGGGCGCGGCGGCGCACTGTAACGCCGGCGCTGGGAAGCGTTGGTGTGGGGCGCGCGGCGTGGAACGCGGCTGCGGCGGAGCCGGGGCTGGGGGGGCGCCGTTACCCTGCGTGTATCCCCCCTCCCCTCTCACGAGACCTCGCGCTCCCCTGCGGCGCGCGCGGGAGGATGAACCTGGAGCACCTGCGGCGGCGCGTGCGGCAATACATCGACCAGGTGCGCGCCGGGGGGGGGACCTGGCCCTGGGCATGTGCTCTGCTGGATGCTGCAGCCTGGGGCGGGGGCGGAAATCCTCCCTTGCTGCTCCCTGTGTCAGGTGGTTTTTAAGCCTCGAGATGAAAATCTGGACCGCTCTCGGGGACAGAGCAGCCAGGGATGGGGACGGGGACCCGGGGGCACCGCTGCTCCAGCTGGGACCTGAGGCTGGAGGGGCTGGCCCCTTTGCTTGGGGTCAGTCCTCCGATTTGCTCCTTTTAGGGATTGTGGGCACAGGACCACCAAGAAAATGTATAACCTGCCCTTAAACAAGTGGGGACTGAGAAAGGAACCATGAATTTCTTGGGGTAAACAAAACCAGGAACAGGGAAGGGAGTGAGGTCACAGGGTCAAAATAAGGGATCCGGAAGGGGACACTGGCCAGCACCCGCTAGCCCGTGAAAGAGTTGAGGGAGCTTGTGGATTAGGGATGGGAATATAATTTAAAAATGTGTCAATTTAAGCTCTTCTAATGATATTGCTTAAATGATTAACTGATAGCACAGCAGCTGGGACGGGGCTGCTGCTAGCAGCTGCTTCCCTTGGGCCTTTGTTGGTGGGAGGGAGGGCAAGGGGGAGATGGAGGTGGTGGGGGGCTCCCCTGGACCTGTGAGGTGGTGGGCAGCAGCAGAAGGCGAGCACTGGGAAGGAGCAGCTAACTGCTTAATGTGGTTCCCAAACTTTGACAGGTTGAGCACCACCAATTTAAAATGATACAACCTTAAGTGCCACCAGCAATTTTTTGTCTTATAGAGTAATTATAATAAATCTGTTAACGTGCATCACTGACAGGTTGTCTGGGGACCACTGGGTGGTAAACGAATGCCACAGATTGGGAACCTCCTAATTGATGAGTCATTAGTCCACCCCCTGTTTTCCTCTTAGGTTATGGGTACTAGTCCCCCCCACTTGTCCCTCCCTCTTCCCTCCTTGCTCCTTCCTGCCTGCCCTGCTGTCTTCCTGTTCTAGAGACACTGTGCTGCTTTCTTTACGTTAACTGGTAATGTATTACTGGTATAAATATACGTATTGTTTAAACATTTAACATTTCACACACCTACTGCGGAAGTGGAGAGTGAAACTCTGCTCGGAGAGGTGAGTGGAGGAGTTACAGGACATCAGCCTCGTTCACCCAGGTTCCTTCCGGCCAGAGGCTTCTTCCTGGGCTTATAGGTGGCCAGCTTGGTAAGAGCCAGGAGGAGGTTGACTAGGAGATTCCAGGGCTTGGTGGGGCCACATACGGGATAGGGAGCGCATAACAGTAAAGGTGCAGGGAGAAGTGCAGCCAGACCTCAACTGTAGGTTCAGGAGGAGGCAGAAGAGAGGCTGCAACCTGGTGCACTTGAGGTAGGCATGTGCCAGTTGGGGACAGCCATGTCACCATGTTTCATAGAAATCAGAGAGAAGCAAGGCTGGAAGGGACCTCCAGAGGCCATCTAGCATGACCCCCTGCCTGAGGCAGAATCATCCCCGTCCAAGCTATCCCACAGAAACTATAATTGAACCTCTTTGTAAGACTACTGTCCATATTTGGGGTTAGCAAGGAATTTTGCCCCATGCCCAGATTAGTACAGATTAGGAGTGTGGGTGGAGTTTGTCTTCCTCTTTAATTGGCATGCAGCTGTCTCCCTGGGATCTCTTGAGCATATGTTAACAGCCAGTTAAAGCAGCTGGATGTTGGTGGTTGTGGTCCCCCTGCTTTGCCTGTGGTTGATATGGGGGTTATATTGTGTGTTGTGTCAGGGTTGACTAGTTTTGCCAAGAGATAAGACAGTGGATTTGGATAGGGATGATCCTGCCTCAGACAGGGGTTAGACTAGATGGCCTCTGGAGGTCCCTTCTGGACCTGCTTCTATATGGGTATTTGTACACACACATTTTTGTGATCCAGTGCGCCAGAGATGTGTTGCATTGCTCTGCATGCAAACTGGTGTGCACTGTGCTGCACTGCATGCAGTTGTATAAGTGGTGAAATGCATGTCAGCACGCAGAAAATGGCAGCGGTGTGCTTTTGGCTAAAACACCTCGGCGGCCCCCTCTTCCCCCTCCCCCCATGCCACTCCCAGTGCCACCCCCCTGCCCGCCACAGCCCCAGCTCTTCCCAGCATGTGGGTGAAGGTGGGGGGTTGAAACAGGGGTGTGCGGGGTGACAGCAGCACTGGGAGCAGTGCCGTGGCGGGGGTACCGGGGAAAACTGTGGCCACTGCCACTGCTGCCCACCCTGAACCCAGCCCCCACTGAGAAGAGTCTGGCTCAGTCCAGCCTGCAGCTGCCGCTTGCCCGCCCTGCCCCACGCAGATCCAGGGGCACCCTCCCCCTCATCATCAACCCCCAACCCCAACGAGCTGCGGCTCTGTCCCATGTGCTGCCTCACCCTGGCTGGGTAGTGCCTGTACCTGCCCCCTCCCTTCTTCACTGAGGGGGGGCCTTGATCTGCCTCCACTCCCCTTCCCTCCCCACTCCCCTTCCATTACAACAGACTTACCAGCTGCATGCAGCTGTATTGGAAGTCAGATCGGTATTGGCTGATATGCCTCCTTAAATATCAGCTATTGGTATTGGCTCCCAAAATCTCTGTCGGTGCACCCCTAATTCTGTGAGCCCCTTTGTTGGGTGCTGTCACGGCCAGGTGGAGCTGCCCCATGCATCATCTCCACAGCTAGACTGAGGAGCAGCTGTAACCCAAACCTGTGCTTTTCTTACAGCCCTTCCCTGTCTGGCCCATGCACTTCTTCCAGAACAGGCACACCAGGCTGGTGGGACTACCCCACACCCCTCCATTTCCAAGCAGAGCATCCAGGGTCAGCTCAGGAAGGGCTGTGGCAAGAGCATGCACTCCGGCCACAGCCTTTGGCTCTGCCCAGCAAGAGAGATTAGGCTGGTCGGGAGCAGCCCAGTGGGGTGTAATGGTAGGTGGTGCTACAGAGAAATGACTGTACACTTCCTGTTTATATAGTGCTCTTCTAGGTTCAAAATGCCCCTTTAGGCTTTATTTATGCAAGTTTCATGCTGTTGCTTTTTATCCCAGAAGAAATAGCAAATCACATGTACTGCATAAAAGCTTGAGTGGAGAAAATGTTTTGGTTAAAGATACATGACCCTTTGATCAAAAAGGAAATAAGAAATACAGACACAGCAACAAAAGCTGTTTTTACCACAGCCTGAAAGATTTCCATTTGTTACAAATAGTATTTTAGTCAAGTGCAAGATGTTATATAAATAAATAATACTTTTAGATCTTCCGTGTCCCTTATTCCTAAGATTCAAGGCCCCTTCTCTCAGACTTGGGTAAATTGCTGAGAAGTGTTTGGGAAGTGCATAATTTGGCCTTTGTAAATGTGTTAGCGGCTGTGAATTATTTGGTCATCAGTTAATTTAACATAAAAAATACAAAAACTAGCCTTCATAGCCGTTTGTGAAGATTTTGGTGGTGGTGTAGTTACTGTTGGTAACTAGAATATCCCAAATATATTTTAAACTAATCTAAACACTTTTAACATTCTTCTACAGCAACAGTATCAAAGTGCCCTATTTTGGGCAGACAAAGTTGCTTCACTATCTCATGGTAAGTAATCCTTTTTATGTCAGATTTCATATAATTTAAAATCTTAACTTCATTCAGACTTGTTCCTATTGATTTTTTTTCAGGGACTTGTATATTTGTAGGCTTTTTTATGTATTGCTCTTCTGCGAATTTCTTTATAATTCTACCTATTCAACTAGTGCATCAATGATTCCAGCTCAAAAATCAAGTGAATATAATCCATTCTTCATTCATGCGTAACCCTTTTGCCAGGTAACGGGCAGCAGTAACAAGGTCTGGGTTCAAATTTAGGGGTAAAGATCAATTTTTTAAATTTAGCTCAAACCCCCACCCAGAAACGTGGGAAAATAAATGTTAACTAGGTGTTCTAATGTGATTAGGCCTCCTCCCTCAAGCAAATATTAAATTAAACTAGGGTTTATTACAAGGGGAAAAAGGGGAGCAAATGGGGATCATAACCAAAACCATAACTATTATAATAGTAACTAAAACTCTACAGAGGTCATAGTTACCAGCAAACCAATTCAGCACCCACCTAGTCCAGGCAGATGGGAAGGGAAACTCCCCTAAGGGTACCATCTAGGGGCCCTACCAGCCGTGGCAGCGAAAGTAGCAAATGCTTGGTAGGAAGGTTTACCCCAGAAACCTTGCTGCTCTTCCCTGCCAGGGGTTGCTGCTCTGCTCTTGGGGTTTTACTGCATACGCCAACCAAAATAGCAAGTACTCAGGAGGAAGACCTATGCTGAATTTACTGCCACTCTGATGCTGGGGACACTGCTAGGATGCAAGGCTGGGGTCCACTGCTCTGGCCACTGGGGCGCATTGGTAGAGATTGCTGCTAGGGAGTGCTGCGCTGACTGCTGCCTCCAGGGGTTACTGCTGCTCCACATCGCTGGGGTGGCTACTGCTAGTCCCCTTCAAGTTATGTAAACCTAAGTACTTCTCAGTCTTGACCTTCAGTTTTAACTACAATGAATGTCAGGCTTCTACTATGAGGTCCTGTGCACAGAAACACTTTTACTTTGAGGAGCTGGTGAACCACAAGGCCGTCCCAGGAATGACTCCTGTCTGGGTCTCTTCTTTCCTTACACACACAACTTTGTACTAAAACTGAAGGCCACTCCATTGCAGATCTCTGCACACCTCACAGTGTAGTCTGACTTTTGTATAGCTTAATATTAATAATGGTTTTGTGCCTACAAACTTCATACATCTGGAAGGGAGGGCTGGTGGACACACAATCTGATCCACCTGTTCTTCACTGGTGCACACTTTTACCTATCCTCAGACAGTATAAACTAAGTCCACAAGCAGTGAAAATGGGCATGAATAGCCCACAAAACCTTTATACAAATGAGGCTATACAGATACAGAATACAGAAAGTTACCAGTATAGAACATAAACATAATCAAACATGCAGAACACAAGAAGGATTACACATGTTTGATTCCTGGCCTGAAAATATACTACTTAACTTACAGTGCTCAATCTTTTTAGCCAATCTTTTTTAAGTACTTCTCCTTCACTTTCCTGAATTTTGCAGGACCCCATTTTAGAATTGCTGAGCTAGAACCTGAATTCAGCTAGGATTTAACTGATCTAGCTGGTATTAGTTAAGAGTGGGGGGGGCAGGGCCTAACCCTCCTGTGCTCTGCTATTTGCACTGTCTGCCTCGTCCCTGCTCCCCACCATCTGTGCCTGAGCAGGCAAGGGAAGTGCTTGCTGCTGAGTCTGATCCTGTAGTGTCTCATACACCAGCAACCATTGCTGCAGCCACACCCACTGACCTCTGGATTTTGTGAGGGTGAAGGGCAAGAGCTGGGCTACAGATCTCATCTCTGTCTACATGTCTGCCAGCCTGCTAGAGCATGCTGCTGGGGGTGTGGGAGGGCGGCAGTGATGGCAGTCCTCAAAGAAGCAGCTGTAGGCACCATTGGGTAGCTGCAGGGGGAGGGAGGAAACAGTGCAGGACTGGGAAAGAGAGCATTGACCGCCTTGCACGCTGGCCAGACAGCACAGTACCTGTAAGCAGGGGTGGGCAATTTTATGGGCCCAGGGGCAACATATGGAGTTTTGATGAGTTGTCATGGGCTGGGTGGAGGAGGGGCAAGAGCACATCAGAGCTGACCCATTGCCAAGCCCTGCCCCCTCCCACCTGGGGCAGCCCGTGCCATGCTCCCACTTGCACCTGCCAGGCTGCTCCTAGTGCAGCTGCAACCGCCTGGGTGCTGCTCAGCTCCTCTTCCTGTTCAGCCCAGAACAGCACAGCAGGGAGTAAGCTTCAGCCAGGCAGCTCCTGCCCTAGCTCCTGGCTGCCTTTCACCCGCTCGGCTGCCTGTGCCAGACCGGTGGAGTGAGTGGAAGGCAGCTGAGAGATGGAGCACTGCAGCCAAGAACCCTTCAAAAAGTCCAGCAAAGCCACCTCAAAGAAGTCCTTCCAAATCAATATGATTGCTATTTACAATATAAATACATTATGTAACTATATTACTTATCTATAATTGATTGAGTACAAAATCCTGGGTTATTTTTGATGAAAATAGGGTATTGGGCCTTGGTTCAGGAACCAATCCCCCATTTATAACGTTTCCTGTGGGAAAATCGGTTCCAAGTTATGTTTTGACTTCAGACATGGTTTTCAGGAACCAATTGTATCGTAAGTCCGAGGACTGCCTGTAATAATTTGTTTTATCCATCCCTTTTTCAGTGTAAAATTGTTTCCTGCAGTGGCTCCGTAGTGCTTAGTCTGTTTTACATATATAGAACCAGCATTGCTATATCTTCTGTATTTTGAAGAATAGTAAAGTGTCGACAATTTTGAAGACTCTCCCAGTATATCATGACTTAACACAGGTTGTGTCACCCAGATTAATTGATCTTTTTTCCAAATATTTATTTTCAGTTCTTTATCTGTATCTATCTTAAAATGACTTTATATAAATCTCATAGATTTCATAGACATCAGGGCTGGAAGGGACCTCGGAAGATCATCGAGTCCAGCCCAGCCCCCCGCCCAAAGGGCAGGAAGTCAGCTGGGGTCATAGGATCCCAGCAAGATAAGCATCCAGTTTCATCTTGAAGGTGTTCAATGAAGGCGCTTGAACCACCTCCGGTGGCAGGCTGTTCCAGACCTTGGGGGCTCGGACAGTAAAGAAGTTCTTCCTTATGTCCAGCCTGAAACGATCTTGAAGTAGTTTGTGACCATTCGACCTTGTCATCCCTTGGGGCGCTCTGGTGAACAAACGTTCCCCCAGATGCTGGTGGTCACCCCTGATAAACTTGTAGGTAGCCATCAGATCACCCCTGAGCCTGCGCTTTTTCAGGCTAAAGAGCCCCAGGGCTTTCAGCCTGTCAATCTGATCCTGCAGAAGCTTGAATTACTAATGGTACATAAAGTGTAACATATACGTAAGTTCTTACTGGATCTGAGCGTACTATTATACATCTACAACTTGGAAAAAATTGTTTTATTTAACAAGTACTTGATTCCACAAAAGCTTTAAGTGTGGGGAAGGGAAGAAGAAATAGATGACACCTGTGTTTTCTTCTGTGGCCTCATTCAGGGGCAGGATCTACTTATAACAGTCGTGCATGCTGTTTTTCTTGTCTTCATTAATTATAATCCCCTTCTATTATGATACGCAAACTGATGGTAGATTGTTTACATTCTTGCTTGACAGTTATTTTTGCTGGAGTCCTGGAGGGTGAACTTCCATCTTTTCTTATTTCAGACATGTACCCTAGGGTGCATTTTTAATTATCACAAAGTGAAGGTTTAATTATTAATTTCTAATTCTAGAGATGATTAGTACAAGGAAAAGTAGGATAATAACTTTCTAATGACCTGAAAATATATATGCCTTTCAAAAGTTGTGATATTTATAATAAAGTGGTTTAGAATTGTGTTTAATTTGATATAATATATTACATATATTAAGTATAATAATATAAATCTTGTATTTTTATAAAGAGGAACCTCAGGACATCTATTGGCTGGCCCAGTGTCTTTACTTGACAGCACAGTATCATAGGGCAGCACATGCCCTGAGATCACGCAAGTTGGATAAGGCAAGTAATTTCAGGCAAGAAGTATTACTTCTGTTTTAAAACAAAACACCTGCTAAGCAGTTGATCTGTGCTAAATGTAGGGGTTTTTTTTGCCCCCCTTAGATCTTACGGTCTAAGGAGTGGCCATGCTGCAGCATGGGTGCCACAAGTGATGCGGACAGCCTCTGTGGTGCACAGCAGATTGGGAGGGGACAGGTAGCACAGTTCCAGATAGGGTAAGGAGCAAAAAACAGCATCAGATCAGACAGGGAGCACAGGGCAGAAAGCAGAATGCAGAACAGCATAGCAGGTAAGGGAAAGGGATCGAACTAGCACTTGGAGAGGTTTTAGGGCTAATTTGTGGCACACCTGCCAAAAGGCCTATCTCCCACTGATCTAAAGGGAAAGTAACTGCATTGTATTGCATTATGCAGTCTGTAAAAACAAATATAGCCACTTGCTCATGTAGCCAGAATGCAAAGAGTAGGACCAACTAAAGTCAGAGAGAATTCTAAAGAGGAAAGGGGAGGGACAAATATGAGGAAAGCAAGGAGTTGGTCAAAGGCTGTGCTATTCTATTTCTCCCACTTTGCTAGTGATAGTTATGGAGGCCTAGAAAGGAGAAAGTATTGCTGGAATAAGAGCACTTAAAAATAATATTGAAGTGCATCACAGGCTGGGTCTGATCATTAATAACTATGATAAGGGAGGTTTTGCTGAGATAGTAAAAGGTTAACCAGATTGCAAGACGCGAAGAAAAGAGAGCAGAATAAATCCAGTAGCTGGCTTAAACAGCATGCTGTGTGACACTAAAGTCAAAAGAGAGAAAGGAAATACTGTGAGATATAAAAGCATGTTGCAGTAACATAGCAAAATGGGGATGAAAAAATAGAAGAGGCTGTGTTGTCAGACCAACTGCCACCATGTTGCCAGAAGAGCAGACAGTGATACTGCCCTGCCTATGTATCACTACCACCCAGGCGCCACTTTGCATCTCTGGTATGTTGATATGGAACGGGGAAAAAGAGTGCCTAATGTGTGCAAAGAGGAATGGAGGGGGATAAGTTCAGACCAAGGAGATAGAATGGTGCTTGAGAAATCTGGAGTCAAAGATTTAAGTAAATGATGCGAAGGTAGTACCATCTTTAGGTAAATTTTTAGTTAGAAAACAGGTGTTTTTTTTACAGTAGTAGCTTTTTGCTGTTGAATATTTGGGACTTTTGCTTGCAGCTTCTTTAAGTTTAATATAATTTACACTTCTGTTTCTTTCTCAGTTATATGAAGCATGTCGATACCTTGCAGCAAGATGTCATGTAAGTATATATTTTAGTTAATACTAGAAACAAATCAAACTAAACAAAACTTACAATGTAAGTGTGCATCTTGCACATCAGAAGATTGTAGACTAGAGGAGGGATATGTATTGGTCTAAATCTGAGGTTTGCAACAATTCGCTGAAGCTGTGGGTTCATATTCTCTGATGCTAGTCTTGTTTTGTCATTGTTCTAAGCTAGATTTTTTTTTTTTGGAACCATATTGTGTGGGTCTTTTGAATGAGACCAGAAAATACCAACACCTCTTTGTTCAGCCCAAATGCTAAATTTCTGTGAGTGTGGAGTTTGGTTGTTACCTATGCATCAGAATTTCCTTAGTCTACAATGTTGTTTGTGAGGATGTGCCCCAAAGATGGCTTTGTTGTAGTGGTGCCATAAATGCAAAAGTGTTGCATTTATAGTTACATATGTAGAAGAATGAGTAAAGTAAAATTGAATAGTATGTATTTCAGTAGGGTTTTGTATCATTTGTTGCAATTTGTTGTTTATTTCAAGATAAATATCTTTAGACGTCTATAATCAGACAGTGTTAAACAATATGATAAATGCCTATGAATAATTTAATTTCCAGTTTCTGATTTAATTTAATTGTTTGGTTGTACAATATAGAAATATTTAATAAACTACTAGTCTACTAGTAATTATGTTTTAATAAACTACTAATACTAGTGGGGTGCATCTGCACAAGACATTTACTGTGGAGCTGCCTAATTAGCTTTGCAGTAAACATCTCAGCGTTTACAGGTACAGCCCTATTAAGCCTCAGTAAACTAATAAACTCTGCAGAGGATAGTACTTGTACTTACACTGCTGCAGTTTTTTAGTGTGCAGCAGTGCATGTGTAGATGCTGACTTGGCTGGCTGGGGCACAAGGGTGCTTCAGTGTGGGGGCTGCCTGCTGCAATATGTTGAGCTGGGCAGGAGCAGCCCCAGGCTGGCAGGCTGACTCCCGGGGGCCTCTGCCAGCCAGAGCTGCTCCAAGCCAACTCAAGTGTGCTGTGGTCCTAAGTGCATGTTCAGCCAGCATGCCCAGGAGCAATACATTCCAGTGTGATAAGTGCTGGAGTTCATTGCTGTGCCTTAATTGCACGTGCAGACAAACACATGGGCTACTAGATTATGTTGATAAATTAATCCGCAACCAAAATAAATGTCTAAATACAAATAATGCCCTAGGTTATTAAAAGCATTTATGCGTTTCTTATGATAGTATATTTATTTGTGCTTTAATTTATATAAATGCTTAAAACTTAAATCATTTTTTTTCCTGTAGTATGCTGCAAAAGAGCATCAACAGGCCCTTGATATTCTTGACATGGAAGAGCCAATCAACAAAAGACTATTTGAGAAATACATGAAAGATGAAAGTGGGCTCAAAGACTCCAGCAGTGATTGGGAGATGTCACAGTCCTCTGTAAGTATCATTTTTTAAATATCATATTTTAATTGTTGAAAAAAATGTTTAATTAGTACCGGTATTTATCAAAGTACTGGCACTGCAATCAGCTTCACTGTGTTTTCTCAGAAACCTGTTTCTGAAATTGAGGAGCATTATTATTATTATTAGCTGCCTTGGTTATTGCCTCTGTGGAATAATTATCTTGGCCTGTCAGTAGTAGCAGTCCCATGCAAATACTTCCTCAGAATTGTTAGCTGAAGATTTAAATTCTAGGCTTGCTGAGTTGTGACTTGAGATTTGACAACATAGGTTCACTTGCACTGTAGGCTCAGAAAGCAGCAGTCCTCTGCCCATCAACTATTTTAATGAGGTATTACTTTAATTACTTCAGTACTGCTTTCAAGGGGCCATTCCTCATCTGTATTTGAAAGGTAGGAAGTGTACTTAAAGTACAGCAGTTATTCTTGCTTGATTCCATATTTAGACAGACTTGTGCTCTAATCAGAGTTAAAGGTACAAAACAATTTTATTTATAATAATACTGTTTTATTAACTCCATAAATTTCTGAAACATGTATGATTTGCTATACAATAAAAAATGCGATTGGTCCTTACCCAAAATATTTTTTTAAATATTTGAACCAATTGTTCTTAATCTCTCTTTTTTCCCCTCATCCTGATTTGGGTATTCTGTTTCATATGCCTAAACTCATATTCCTACCCCCATCCAAACACAAGCAGCTGAATTCTGCTTATTCACACTTAAGCCCTCTCCTACAACCACAAATTCATTCCTGGGATATCTTATAGTTGTGAAACAATACATTAAGCCAGTGGTTTCTTTAATCTTCATAGGCCCTTGTTTGAAATACTGACTGCCTACTTTTTTCAAGCATATATTTTACTAGTTCTCATTTGTTAGAAGCCTGCTATAGTCTTTAAATTGGTTTAGCTTATGAATAACTTTTTTTTTAAATTTCAAGGTAGTACTAGAAAATCAAATCGCATCATGTAAAATGCTTTTTACTTTTCAGGGAGTCCATTTGCTATGTGCTCAAAACCCAATTGCAAACATTGATTCAGTCTCTGACCTCCAGCCCTGCTTTTCCACCAGATTAAGAGCTCTATATGTCTTTTGCGAGGGAAGATCTATGATGCTTTGGATAATAGAACCCTAGCAACCTACAGCTACAAAGAGGCATTGAAGCTTGATGTTTACTGCTTTGAAGCATTTGACCTTTTAACATCACACCACATGTTAACAGCACAAGAAGGTTTGGAGAACAATATTTATTTTTCAGATGTAAACAAAATTAAACCTCCAGTTTCACAGTCCTGAATAAAATTAATGTTGCGTATTACAAATCTTAGTTCTGAACTAATTTGAAAGAATAGCATGTACTCAGTTTTATTTGTATTTATTAAAGGTTCTGGTTATGTTAAATAGATAAAGTATTCTAACTTTCTGAAATTTGCACTTAAACTTTAGATTTCAGCTCATGGGGTGCAATCTCTGGGTTATGTTAGGTGACTACTACATCTTAAAAATCAGCAAAATTCTGTAACTATTAAGACTTGAAAAGAGCCAAGTAAGCCCAGCCTCTGTGGCTAGTTTCTCCAGTAACTTCCATGCCCATTACTTAGATTTAGCATCTGTTTTCTCTATGAGGTCAATGCCATAGTCCTTTGAAACCACAAAGCATTGTGAGATTACGGTGAAAAGTCATAGTTGTTTTTGGCATTGTGTATGGAAAAAGGTTAAAAGTAATTGTTTTATCCAGTGCCCCCCTCTTCAGTGAAAAACCTTAACCCTAGAGTCAATATAAAACTGTAGATTGTAGTACTCCATCAAGTTGAATTTGACTCAATTAAGTTCTGTAGAGAAGAATTTAAAAAGTAAGAATTCAGTCATTCACCTTCATGCTTAAGATTACTGTATCATAATGCAGTTGTTTAGGATCATTAATAACGTGATGCTTTACTTGTATTGGAACAGACATTTCAAACTTGTGTTTTTGAGCCCTGTGAATTTTTTACTTGTTTGGGTTTTTTTTGTGCTTGTTTTAATTTACACAGAAAAAGAACTGCTTGAATCTCTACCTCTTAGTAAACAGTGTATGGAAGAACAAGAATTGCTACATTTTCTATTTGAGAATAAACTGAAAAAGGTAAACAAAAAACAAATTAAAAAAAAAAGGAAAAGCAAAAAAATGTTTGAATTGGAAAACTTGTCCTAAATGCTAATTTTATATGATTGTGTTTTGTTTTGAGCTTTTGAAACATCAAAATTAAAAAATGTATTTTTACTTTTGCTTATAATTACCTCATGTATTAAATTACCCAGTTCATTAAATTATTAAATGTAATTACTTAATTTATATTACTGCTTTTCATATATAGAAATATAAACAAGATAAGAGTTTCATGTAGGCTTTATTCCACAAATGTTATAGTTTCGTTTGATGAAAATCTCTACTTGGCTGACTTGCAGTTTTTTGAGAAACATCCAAGTATAGAATAATGCTGTAACAATTGCTTTAATAATGTTGGTGCACTGAAGCTTGTTTGTATAAAAGGATGTAAGGGATTTTACAGTAAGAATATATTATGTCTAAAGTGCTGTTGCTGGAACTGCACCACAGCATTGGCCAACATGGGTCAGCAAGTGCCCTGTCACTCAGCATTGTTCTTTCAGAGACTGCACTTGAAAAACTGGTAATGAAATATCTTTCACTGTCTAAAACTTGTTGACATGAGTCAATGAGCTATTAATAAATATTAGTTTTTTACTTAATGCAGGCCTTCTAAGCACAAGTCAGAATTTTAAGAGATCCAGAAAAATATTAAAATACCTTTGAATTATTATTTCAGACAGAACCTAAAAGCAGATATTATTAAAATCATTTTTTTCATTTTATACAAATTCTTATGGTTGTTAAAATGCCTTCTTTTTCAGTATAACAAACCTAGTGAAACAGTGATTCCGGAATCTGTAGATGGCCTCCAGGACAATCTGGATGTTGTAGTATCCTTAGCCGAAAGACATTATTATAACTGTGATTTCAAAATGTGCTACAAGCTTACATCTGTGTAAGTACATAAAGCAACTGTGATATTTCAAGATTTTATTTCTGCTACTTCTCAGGTGTCATGTAGGAAATATCATATGATCACAAATATACCCAAATCTATCATTCAGTTGTTTAATGTATCTTTTGCAAACTAATATTATCTCAGCTGAGGTAAGTTTCATGGTTTCATACCAAAGTCCCAGCTGGTTAAGAAACTGTGAAAATAAATATGTTTTGTTTTGAACAAAACACACAACAAATTGTGATAGTGTTCTATAAAGCTTCTTTATCTTAAGCTCTAGATTTACTACATGTCAGTACTCAAACTATTGGTCTTGTAAAATAAAATAAGCTTTCAGCAAAGACAGTGCTATATTGAATCTAATCTTGCTTCCAGCAGTGGCAGGACCTGAGAATGTTGTAAAGGCAGTATACTAAATTTGTCAGTAGAAATATTTGATTGCTATCCTAATTGCATATTCCATCTGCCAAGTGTTTTGTTAACCAGTTCAGCTAAATTAATTCTAGCTGGTTCTAAATTAGCTATTATTATGGTAGTAACATCATGTAGCTAGAACATGACTGTTGGCTTATTCAAGTGCTGATTGCTTGCAGTATTACATGTTGTTATAACATTATTTTCTTTCTAATTCAGTTAAGTTACATGAACCATTTATTGTATAATATGTTTTGTTTTTAATAGGGTAATGGAAAAAGATCCCTTCCATGCAAATTGTTTACCTGTGCATATAGGGACACTTGTGGAATTGAATAAAGCAAATGGTGAGAATTGTTATTGACTAACAATCTAATAAGACTCAAATGAATGTAGAATTATAAAAGCATCATAGCTAATTTTGACAGTGCCTTTTGAATAGATTTCTCAACAGTCAAGCAGAAAGTAGCATTTTCTACAAATAAACCCCCAAAAATGAGATTAAGGAAAAAAAAATTTAAACTTTAAATTAAAAAATGTAAACTTTGCAGAGCTGGGTAGGGATCACATGAGTGGTTTTCGTGTGCTCTAACAGTGTTTTCTGCCTCTTGAGTTATATAGCCAATGAGTTGCAGAGAACCAAACTTTTTATTAATGTCTACTGTGTGTTGAATACTGTGGTAAATGTAGGTTTATTTTCCTTCCAAAAATTAAAGAAAATATATTTTCAACAAATATAAGAGGGAAATTTTTAAGAATGGCTACTTGTGACCTCAAAATCTGTGGATAGATCTATTGTGTTTTTCAGGGAGGATCAGATTTATTTTCTGTAGAGTGAGCTGCCTGCAGACAGAGACCTGTTTCATAAGTTATCTCTTCCTATTTGCAGTTATAAACACTGCTTCAATTATGATCCTGTTCATAACTATGCAGTCTTCTTGTGACAGTTACATCAATAGTTTAGCTACAGTTTGTTTCCAGACTCTTTCCAAGAAGGTCTTGGAAGTATTTGGAAACAATTTGAAATGACAATGAGGACCTGACATCAAATGGCCTTCACTCTTTCAGTGTATTAATCTGAAATAAAGTATGAAAATTCCACTTTTGTACAAACAGGTAGGCCATTACATATGCTAGTATATCTTTGTAAGCAGTTGGTGTGCTTCAGCTTCTTTAATTGCAAGTGTCAACAATTTTTTTTTTTTTTTTAATTTGGCCAGTAGTCTAGTTTTTCTGAGGGTCAGTTGAGAGCTACTTCTATAAAAAGTGAGAAGTACTGTGAACAGAATTTTTATAATAGGCCTCGATTTAAAGTTTTGAATTGGGGGAAAGAACTCCAGTGGTGAGACTTGCACTGTGGATCTTTCATTACGTTTAGAGAACAAGGTTTTTTTGTTATTCCTTCCCATGGGGAGGAGAAGACCTGGGGAAAGGAGGGTAGTGTTGTTACTCTTTGTAAGTGTTATTGATAGTAAAGTGCTGGAACAGGTTACCCAGAAAGGTTGTGGAATCTCCATCCTTGGACATTTTTAAGACCTGGGTAGACAAAGCCTTGGCTGGGATGATCTCACTGGGGATAGTCTTGCTTTGAGGAGGGTGTTGAACTAGGTGACCTCCTGAGGTCTCTTCTAACCCTAATTTTCTATGATTCTATATAGTTCTGCTTTTATTTATTAAAGTAATTAAGTGATAAAACACTTCAGGATTATTTTTATTCAACATACAGAAACTTTGGTTACGTGTTTAGGTTCTTGATCTCTTAATTTTAGTGTTTAAAGAATTCTGCCTCAGAATTACTAAGTTATCGTACATTGTCAATGTTGAAAGTAGAAACAAGTCATTGTAGTTAATTTATAAGAAGCGGAACTTTTAAAATTATTTCAAGTATACGTGGCAATGTTTTTTGAAAATGTAATACTGTACTTTAGCTGACTATGTTCTAATTTGCTCCAACATTACGTAGGCTAGGATTTTCTTAATAACCCGGTTGAGTCAAATGCACAACATGTCTGTTATGCTCTTCACATACTCAGGCTGGAAACTGACATCTCATTTGAGGTGATCATGACTCAACCAGATTTTAACTCTGGTAAAAGCACAAGTGGCATAGCCGTTTATACACTTAGGTTTTTCAAGCTGTATTGCTGCCCCTCTGACAGGTCTGTTTTGGGATGACTGGCAGTTAACTTGAATGAGCTGTGGTTAATTTCCGGACATACACAGCATTGTCCTGGGGAAAAATATTATCACACTTTACCTCACTTATTTCACAGGTACTTAAAGTGGGACAATGGACGTGTGTGTCTGTGGGATCCCAGGGCAAGCAGCTTTCTCTTGGGAGAAATGCTATCTATGTGCATCTACAGTGCTTTGAATTTGTATTCAAATACACACAAACTTATTCAAGCTTTAGGTTTTGTAAAAATAGATTAAAATAGAAAGTTAAAGGGTCATTTTTTAAAGTATCTGTTTAAAGAGTAAAACATTTAGCTCTGAGTTTATAGACTAACTTTCAACACGTAGTGCGAGATGCATGTAATGATACTTTATAACTATATGTTGTCCAGAATTGTCTTTTGTTTAATGTACTATAATTTTCTCTCCTCCCACCCCCTGCCCTTTACAGAGCTTTTCTATCTTTCTCATAAATTGGTGGATTTGTACCCAAACAATCCTGTAAGTTTTTACTTTACTTTTTAAAATAAAAAAAAATCCTTATGTGAAATATATTTAACCTCAGGAATTGATCAAGGTTTTAAATCTAGTTTTAGAATACCTAATATTTAAACTATTCAACGTAAAATAGAATATTTTTTATGCTTCCGAATATAAACACTCAAGCATTTTCTGTCATATCAGATATTATATAATTAATTCTTTCAAAGTTCTGTGATGGTGAGGGTCTTCATCATTTTTAGGAGTTTTGTTATATAGTTTAAGCCATTTTTTGAAAAGTCTTAATCATCTTTCTGCTCCTTCATATTGGAGATTATGTACAGGGAAAGCATGTTTTACTGCCTAGAATTGTTTCCTGTGCTTTTGATTAATTAACCAAAAAGGCTTTAACTTTTAAAACTTTCAGACTTGGCATTAGTGAGAACTTACTTTTAGATGGTTGAAGAAATGTGGTGTATAAATAGCAATATTGTGATAGTTTAAAAGTATACTGTGCAGGCAGTTTGCTGCTTTCTACTTACTTAAGTACATACAGGTATACAGTTCCAGATATACATCTATCTGGAGTAGTTTACATCTGAAAAAAGCATATCTGTACGTACACCTCCTTTCTGCTGTCCTGTGAAATATGAATTTTCATTTCTACCTAGGAGAAATATTACAATCTTTGTACTCTTCTATGCCTGAGAGAGGGTGTGCGCACCCAAAAACTTGCAGATAAACATTTCTTTTGCAACCATCTAGTTGGTCTAATAAAAGTTATCACCTCCCCAAGAGTTCTGATTACTTTTTTATTCATTGAGTACACATTCAAATGAGCATCCTATATAAATCTGAAACTTATTGAAGTATTGTCATAATTGATAAGTAAAGTTCAAATATGTTTGTATGCTTACATATATGAGTTGCATTTGTTCATGATTAATTTATTTTCTCTTTTAGAAAACAAATTTTAAAAAGCTAATACAAAGTTTATATCAAGTGTGCAAAATTCAAAGCCTTCCAGGGTTACTGCTGTGTAGCTTTACTTGTAGGCTGCAAACTTATATCCAAAACTTTGTGTATTCTCACATACCACATGCCTCCAGATAAGATATGCACCTCCTTTTTAGAAGGTAAAATATAGAGGACAAACTATTTTTCTGGAGTCCTGGCCTAGAGCTAGCTGCTTTTTGTGGAGGTAGTGCTGCAAGATGGCTGCCAACTTCTTTCTGAGACAGCAAGCACGAGGGTTGTGTTTAATATTAACCTTTTCACAGCTAGTCACAAAGGCAAAAGAGAGAGCTGGTTTATCCTGGGGTTGATTGTCCCAGACTTCAATGGTGGTTGCATCGAACTATCTCAGGACAGTCATAATGCACAGTGTAATTTGCAGCTCAAATGGCAATTAACTCAAATTAACTGCTATTGTCCCAGAGAAAAAACGGGTATCTCCGTACTTCACAAGATCCCAGGGAGAAATTAGATGTGTGTTTTAATGCAAATTTGAGAGAGTCTATGAAAGGATTAACACTGCATTCCACTCTCTTTCCTGCTTGCTGCCTGAGAGAAGCTGGTAGCCCTCTTGTAGCACATCATCTCTATGCTTCTGGTCTTCCATGCTTCTGTTCTTGCAAAGGAAAAAAAAAAAAAAAAAGCTTCCCTACTTAAGAAACACCTCAATTTCGGAGGGCTGATTTTTGTGGGGAAAGGTGTGCATGTAGTACGCGAATACATATGGTACCGGTGAGCTTCAAGAATTTCCTGAACCTGAGGACTGAATGTGTCCTTTTTGTGGTACTAAATGTTTGACGGAAATCTAAATTTCCATTTAACTTTTACTGCATCACATTTCAGGTGTAAGGGGTCTTCATCGTGTCTGCAAAATTTTTCTAGGATTTTTAATTATGAATTGAGCCTCAGAGCCTCCTCATAGATTCATAGATGTTAGGGTCGGAAGGGACCTCAATAGATCATCGAGTCCAACCCCCTGCATAAGCAGGAAAGAGGGCTGGGTCTAGATGACCCCAGCTAGATACTCATCTAACCTCCTCTTGAAGACCCCCAAGGTAGGGGAGAGCACCACCTCCCTTGGGAGCCCGTTCCAGACCTTGGCCACTCTAACTGTGAAGAAGTTCTTCCTAATGTCCAATCTAAATCTGCTCTCTGCTAGCTTGTGGCCATTATTCCTTGTAACCCCCGGGGGCACCTTGGTGAATAAAACCTCACCAATTCCCTTCTGTGCCCC